TATCAATCCAGGCGAAAGAGAGACAAAGTCCGCGCACGATCGGGTCTCGATTGATGACAGAAAAAAACAAAGACAAGACAACGAATGAACGAATGTGTGTAGTGCGTATGCAGGCAAACGGCGGCAGAAGCAAAGAAAAAAGAAAGAAAAGGGAATCAATCCCAAAACGCACTCACAACAAGAAAGTAAAGAGAGTTGTCGTCGGATCCATAACGAAAGCAGAAAATAAGATGCGACAGGAAAGCGTTATTATACCGTTTCAAGCAAGTTCAAGTTGACGCCAGCGTCCGTTACTCTTGGCAGCCTCCTGCAGCAATAAGCGCCTGAACGGCAGGACAAACTGAAGCCGAGACGTCTGAGAATGCTATTGGAGACGTTTTTTCTGGTCGATTGTAACGATTATTGATGTATGTGAGCTTCAAGAGGGTGAAACACGGTGCTATAGTTGCATGTTTGAACAGGCGCTGGAAGCCTGGAAGCGGAGAGCTTGGGCAGCGCAATTGGCCAATGGGAATGCGGTAAACTCGTCTGGCCGAAGCGCCGGGATGGGTCGGGGACAAACGAGGTAGTGGTAGCGATAGTTGGTTAATAGTAGTAGGCCTTGAGCTGCTGGTGTGGTCGCTGTCCGTTGGTCGTTGGTCGTTGCTTGTTGCTTGTTGCTTGCTTGTTTGAGAGAGAGGAGTCGTCTGATGGTAATAAGATGAAGAAGACAGCCGGCGATCTGAGTGAGGGGACGAGGACTCCTGGCTCAAATGCGCGGTGGTGGCTGGCGGTCAGGATAGTTGTAAGAAAAAGACCGCGGTCAGCAGGGGCTATGGGTAATGATTTTTAACGCAGGTTGAGGTTGCAAGGGCGATATGAGAATCTTGAGAGCCCGTTGTTACGGCATTCCGACGCGGCGATTATTGCAGAGAAGACGCGCAGGATAGCAAAGGGCGAGCGGTAAATCTCACAAATTACCTTGGGCAGGGAGCGTAACTCAAGTGTCGCCAAGTTGTCCGAAATGTCTCTGTCTTCGTACGTACCGCAAGCAGGCGGAGGGAGGGGCTGCTGGAATGATTGAAAGGGTGACGAGGGATGGGAAATTCAATTTGGAGCAAAAGGCTGGCGAAGAACAGCTTTTGCGATCTATCTTGACCTAAGCTTGCAGCTGAGGGGCCGTTCAAAAGACCATCCATTTGACCAGCCAGACAAGACGGCTATTACTACTGGCGATCCTTGAATTCAGCTTGCTCTGTCGAATCGCAACCGCCTGTAACAGAGCGCTGCAGTTTCGTTGGTGATGGTGCAAATGCCCCTTGGAACAAGGATCCAGGGTCCCAGCAGGGGTCTCCCTCAGAAGACCAGAGGACACAGGCACAGCTCCAAGCTAATTGGATGATGGTAAGAATCTTGGCCAGACCAGGGATGGGCCAGATTCAAGGGAGATGCGCCAGAATTAGCATACGCCAATCAAACGAGAGAGGTCAGTGCTCCAACGGCTTGGCTGCAACCAATGCAAATGCACAACAGCAGCTGGTGGTTGAAGCAGAGGGCCACAAAGTGCGTTTGAGGGCTGGGCGGAGAAATGGAAATCGAATATCGACAGGGTGCGCGGAGATTTTGGATGCGTCCTTAATAATGATGGCAGGCGTATTTGAAACGAAGACAGTTGAAGGATTCCACAGGCCTGCATGAATTGAATGCCCGAGCCCTCTTTGGATGTTGAAACGAATTGAATGAGGCCGTCTGTTTGGTTGGAATATCTACAAGTAGATGTCTTGTGTTTGCCTTGAATCCATCACCCTGCATCCCTCTCCCTCTCTCTCCCCCTCTCCCTCTCCCTCTCCTTCTCCCTCTCTCCCCGCTCACCTGATTCCGAACCTGCCGAGATGCTGCGCAACAGCCGTGCCTTCCCGTTTGTCAAAGAACATCACAACACGGCAGGTGGTGGCACAGCACCAGTTTGCCTTTCGGGTAAACGTTCACCCATTGCATTGTTACTCATCCCATCTCATCTCCACCAAACGTTTGCATCCGGAGAAAGAAGACACAATGATGCTCTCACAAGTGTATCATGATCAACACGCGCAATGAGTGCTATTAACCCAAGAGTCTCGGCAGGCAGAGTTGGCGGCGATGTAGCACTCAACCAATCTCTGGTTCAGCTGCTCTCTCCAACTCACCGACTTTCACGCCCTGCCGCTCTGGCCACTTCCGCTCTTTTCACACACACCCTCAATTAGACAATTCCACGTGGAAGGATTATAATGCAAGACAGTTTCCAATCAAGCTGCTGTTCAGACGTCAATCGGGAGCAAACTAAAAAAGAAAGTAATTTATTATTTTTCAGTCAACTTGTACGGAGCACCGTTGTCGGAGTGCAACACCAGATCTCGTACTCGTACTTGTAGGACAGATCGTTATCTTGAGCAACATTGGAATTGATTACATCAATCATGCTGTGTCGCTTGTATCAATTATTGTTATGTAGCACAGCATATTTATTCATGTAAGTAATATGCACGCTTTTATTCCTTCAACTTACTTTTATGCACATGCCAGGGTAGATCCCCGATGATTCCGCACACACCACCGTTTATGTGCGGGATGGGACGCAAATCGCCGTACAAAATGCACGCTCTCCGTTATTGTGGCTGGCGCTGGATCCCCCGTTCATCCTGTCCCAGGAGTAAGCGGGAATAGCCACAGTCTTCTCCTGAGGCTTGGAAACCTTCCAGAAAGTAGTGGAGGCCGCGAGCGTCTTCATCCAATCCAGGCACTCCGTACTCCGTACCTGCATGGGACCATCTGCAGTATTATGAACCCCCCTGCGCGATCTGCGACAATTTAGCGTCTTGCATGAAAGCCAAGCCCAAAAGAGGAGGGAAAACCCTGGGTTGAGATGGGCCTGTCTCTTTGCTTTTCATTACCGGTCAACCTGTTTGGTCCCGACGATCCAGAGAATACGTTGTCTCTCCTTCTTAGTCCCTTCACGCTCGCTCACACACGCCCACTCCATAAAAACTTCTCATCGCCGGATGTCTAGTCCTCCGAGACCTCTCTTCCGCCGAACCTCCGGATACCGGATTTGACTAAATGGTTGGACAAATAATTTATCAATGGTTAAGCCTCTAGCCTGATCTAAGTTGAATGACACAGACCAGGACCCTGAAAAAACTCGGCTTTTAGCTCTTACCAACTTGAAAAGACCAACAGAGAGTTCATGTTCCTGGCCCTGCTGAAGAATGTCACTGCAATGTCTTGGACAAGTGTCCAATAGCCTCTGTATTCCGCCCTCCAGTTTTTCTGTGAGTATCTTAGTATTTCAGACATCCATCATGAAAATTTCTCTTGGGTCGGAATGGACTGTTGACCATTTGTCCAGATCAAAGCCCGGCTTCGCCTACATGCGACATGGATATTCTCCGCCTACCCTGTCAGAGGATCAGTGATCGCCGATATTCTTTACAAGGGCATCTGTCTTCCAGTAGACTTGAAAGTGTGGCACGTGACCAATTTCACCTGTCCTTGTGCTGCACAGTCCCACTCTCTGAAGTGGATGTGGGTACGGTGGTAAATTACCTTGATCATGAAGCATCGGTACCGGTCATCTCCTTCCTCCCTGTTCACGGCAGTTGATGCGTCGTTATGAATTGGGCTCTACTACCCAGTCAATAGCGTCGATAAACCATTCACCAGTTGATCATTTGACAGAGCACACTAGTTCCACACCGGATACACGCACTCCGCAGCATTTTCTTCACTGAATTCGAGCCTGTCATATGCCCAGCCCTATCACCGATCAACCCCTGTGCAGTCATCCATCATCATGACAGGGCATGACAAACGGGTCACCTCGCATCATCCAGACCCCCGGGTTCCAATCAGTATTCAGTTACTAGGATAATGATGCAGGGGGCCCGTCAGCCCGTTATTCGTCGTCATACAAGTATAATGGATATATCAAGTACGTTGTATACGGTCATAAATTGAGGTCAAATGGTCAGAAGACGGGGCATGCGCGCGCAACGGGACGGAATTATGAGACCTTCATTGCTACTAATTATTCCTCATCTAGTACAGACAACAAGAACACATATGGAGTACTTGTAATAGCCACGCCCTCCCTCCACGATCCGCCTTCTATCCACTTGGTAAGCATCTAATATTTTATACTAAGGTCTTGCCTTACGAGAGTATGCATTGGGTTTAGATGACCAAGTTCAATTTTATCTCCAATAACGTCATTTACACAGACACCCCAATATTTTATGAATGGCAAGGACTATTGATAAGGTCCCACAAAGCATGAGCCCTGTGGAGCAAATTCGGCATCTGCCATTCCTATTCTTGAACACATTTCCAGGGTACTGATCACCAAGACGGCAAATTCTAGCAGTGAATACCACAATGGCGTTGACGATAGCCGGGGGTTTCTGGTTCCTTCTTCAGTGACTCATTGATTGTTATGAAGAAATATCGCATCGCTACCTAGCGGTGACTCCGAAAGCTACACTACGTCTCCTGGTGCTTTGATCAATGAAGCTACTCGTACCGTGAATGCTACCATGAATGTCACAGCATGCAATGAGGCCATTTTCGTCGTCCATTCCAATTCCATGTGGGTAGATATGGTGGAGACTTCACTCTGTAACTCTTGATCGTGAAGCTGACTGCGAACATGCTTCTAGAAATTCACTCATGTCATGGTCAAGTGAGTGGAGCAAAGCTTTTTTCTCTTTTTTCTCTTTCCATCAGCCGGCAGCTCCCTTGGCCTCACCGTCTTACTGAAGAAAACGCCACCAAACGCCACCAAACGCCACCTTTCATTGGAACGTTCTACGTGAGCATTGCGCACAAACCGTCATCATCTATTCACCCTCCTGGCGTTCAAAATCCAAGCCTGTTCAGGCGTTCCATAGAAGCCGGAGATCCAATCATGCTTATTTCCGGTGTTGTCTATTCTCGGTGACTGCATAATACAGGTGTGCTCTCGAAACCATCATCCAATGAGAACATCCGATATGGTGTAGTGGCTAACATCGCTCGCTCTCAACCTCCAAGTTGAAGATCCGAGCAGCCCGGGGTTCGATTCCCCGTATCGGAGAATACATTTCTTTTTGTCTTCTTTTTTCTTGACCTTGAATTTTTTTGGTTGTTGTTTGGCTGTATGTTCTTAGAGGGCCGTAATTCTCTACTCATAACAAGCAATATGAGTAGAAGCTCTTATAGGAACATAATTGCTACCATTTGATCGTGTCTTGGAAATGGCAACAGAGCGGTCATCCTCATACACTACCCTATAGCTGTCGAGGTGCCTTGTTTATTGTTGTAGTATTTAGCCTGGAAGCTCCAATAGAAACTGTGTGCCTTTTTTTCCCGGGATAATGGGGTATTTTATTCTCTATGAAAATATAATCAAACTGATTCTCCTAAATGCGATGCTATCTGCCTTAACCACTTTTACAAAACAACTTCGTTGACATTATGTGATACTCAAAATTCTGGTCATGCGAAATAAGCCAGTAAAATATTAAAGACATTCCCTGGCCGTCCAAAGTTCTATATCTACTCGCCCAAAGATATATCTAGCACATGTAGCTTACACGTTTATAGGCAGCGGAGAACTCGAGGCCCCGTTAAGCTCTTTATTGGAGTACTATATCGATGCTGTGTTGGTGACCCGGGACTCCCTCACTTCTATACCGGATGTACCAGTGTTCTACTGCGGTGGCAGGTCATGGTATTCGACGCCTTTCTGGAAGATCCACGTAGGCCTCAGGGCTATGAGTTGGTGGTCTCCCCTTTGTCGGTGGTATTGCGGCACAATGAACGCTCTCGTCGGTTGGGATTGTGATACGACTTTTGAAGTGCACGCTTCGGAATGACAGCGTTGTTGGCCACTCATATAATGGCTGGGCAGCAGATGGATCATCCATAGAGGATCGATACCAGGCTACAAAAATCCGTTGTAATTCCTACATTTGAGCCCAGTCGCCCGACAGCTAAAAGCGCCCTGCAAGAAAGTTTAACCTCCCGCCCCAAAAGTCTTCATATACTCCTTCTGGTGTTCTGGCGCCTTTGTCAAGGTCCACCTTACCAGCTCTGGTATAGATGGGGGACTCTGCTGGTGTACGGCTTGTTTCAATGCACTTGTCATTTTCGAGAGGTCACACTCGCGAAGAGGATGTGTTTCTGTCCTTTAATCCACATTAGAATAGTCTCGAGTAAGACTATTAGTCGCGCCTAGTCATTCGATGACTGTGCCATCTTCAAGGTTTCTAAAGTTAGGAATACCAAGCCTTTGAGATTTGTGTTGGCATGTGTCTTTGACGAGAAAAAATTGTCTAGTCAATACCTTCTGCCATTATGAACCTTCAAGATGGCTTGGCATCATAGTCTCAGGCCTGAGGAATTGTCACCGATGCCCAAGCTCGTCTCTTCAGAATATGTCCAAAGAGCTACATCTGTTTGCATTGAACGCAACCTGGCGCGTATCTCATCTACAATCTTCCTCAAAAGTACCAGTTCACTTAGAGTACAGCATTGTAAACCTGGAATCATCCAAGCCACAGCCATCATCACTTTGTCCTGCCTTAAGGTCGTAGTGCTATCTTGAGGTCGATAGAACATAGATTGTGGGTGACTCGACGTTAATTTAACTTATTGACATATGTATCGAGAGCCTCCGTTGCCACAACTGTCCTTGAGGGTCAGGTGGAGGACTACGCCTTCAAACTCGCCCTATAGAGGCAGGGCCTCGAAACCTTGCGTCTACAGCAGTCGCCACTGGGCTTTCAGACTATAGACTAAGCTATATTATCTGCAGAGAGTTAATGGCACTTTAAGGAACTTGGCCGCATAGTTCTCAATGGCTTCTGATCGATGATCTCGCCTGTGATCGCAAATCAGCATATTAGTATTATAGATATTACCACCGCCATAGCTATACAACTGTTAGTTTAATCAGCTATTTCGCCGCCTGGGACTTTTGTCGTTGTAGGTAGTAGAAGGATAGAAATCCAGTCAGTGCTGTAAATAAACAGTATGACAGCAACGAGCTGCAGGAGAACCAAGGGTCCCGCCACAGGACCCCACGACCAAGCGCTATCTTGATGACAATTTCTCGACGTTTTCCTAGAGAAATCTAATAAGTCAAATATACATATATGTGCATATGTGTATATAAATATCCGTAGGAGGAGGTTCCAACGCCCGTATCTTACAACGACGTGGATCAGACAAACTTGAGCACGCCCCCTGAAGCGAAACAGTCGTACTAATGCAGGAAATGTATTCATGTACTCTCTTATTCTGAACCGCGGCGCGGATCAAGGAAAAAAGCCAAGATGGCCGAGTGGTCTAAGGCGATGGTTTTAAGTTATACTTACTTGATCACCATTATCGAGAGATGCCGGGGTTCGAACCCCCGTCTTGGCATATGCTTTTCTATTTTTTTATGCGACAGACTATTATTATTATTATTATTATTATTAGCTTATTAAAAACCAGCTTCTTCATTTGGCTTCTTTTTTCTTGCGTTTGATGCCGGCCCCACTTACTAAAATGGACAACAAGGTCCTGGTTCCTATAAAAAAGAGAGTACTACGATACGATAAGTTTCTTTAGACAAAGGCGTGCTGTTCTATCAAACGTGATTGCAACCTCTTTATGCGGGCCTGGTCAGAATTGAGCGTAGCGAGCAAGCCTACCTAAGCACGGATGGCAGTGCTTGCCGAGGTGATTGTGGCATTCGAAGACAAAAACTCCAATCTTAGAAATGAAAAGAGGCGGGCAAACAGGGTTTCGGCAGGTCTAAAGATCCGACTTCGCTATAGAGCTGTTGTTCAAAGGGCTCAAGGCGCTCAGAACATCCTGTTTTAGTGATTTGGAATTTGTGATTTGCCCCGAGGCCGAATCTGGTCACTCAGGCGCTCATCTATGACAGGTTGACTTTGTGGGATCACCAACCACTACGATGGATGAACGGAATATATATCGCAGCCTAATTCCCTTTGTTTACTTTTAATTAACATCATACATCTCAGAGACTAGAAACAGTTTGAGAATTTATTTTAAATAACTTTCTTCATTTCTTCAATTTTTCTTTTAGTTTTGATTCCCATCTCCAATCGGTAACCATCATGGCTGAACAAGACGTCAAGGTCACTCTCTACTGGTACGTCACCAAAACTTATGCCGAGGCATCTTTAGAGGGACCATTGGCTTTACCCAATACCCTACCTGTATCCCTTGCACATGCTCTTTATGCCCCAGCAAAAAGCTCACAAAAAATGAATTGTTCACAGGCTCGATCAATCCCGGTCTCAGCGCATTCTCTGGCTTCTGGAAGAACTCAAGATTACCTATGACGTAAAGGTCTTCCATCGAGACAAGACCACCAAGTTGGCACCGCCAGAACTGGCAAAAGTACATCCACTGGGAAAGTCGCCAGTCATCACTATAACACCCCCGGTGATGGAGCAGAACCCATTGTTTTGGCCGAGAGCGGCTTCATAACACAGTACCTCTGCGAGCATTTCCCCGAGGGGAAGCGCATCGTGCCCAAACGTTGGAAAGATGGCATGGAGGGTAAGATTGGTGGCGAGACGGAGGAGTGGCTGCGCCATGAGTATTACCTGCACTACACCGAGGGCTCCTTGATGCCATTCCTCGTGATGAGTCTCGTAATCTCCCGTACGTGTTTTTTTCTCGTCCTCCTACACTCGGAATATTTGACTGACCCCCCGGAATAGAGCTGAAATCGCCAAGTGTGCCCTTCTACCTCCGCCCCATCACAAGTGGAGTAGCCGACCGCATGTACGCGGGCTACGTCTTCCCCAACGTCAAGAAAAACCTCGAATTCTTGGAGGGGCAGCTAAAGTCCTCTAGCGGCAGATATCTGTGCTCCGACCAACTGACCGCGGCGGACGTCCTCATGAGCTTCCCGCTCATGGGTGGCAAGGAACGCTTCGACAATATGGGCCAGTTTGAGGGCGGCTCATGGAAGAATGCATTCCCTAGAGTTTTGGAGTATATAGAGCTCCTTGAGAATGAGGAAGGGTATAAGAGAAGCGTGGCCAAGATTGAAGAGATTGACGGGCAGTTTGCGCAGTCACTGTAATCGGGTTTTCACCCAAGACTAGGCTGTATGTAATATATTATCAATGAAAGCTAGTTCCATTACATCGTACGGAATTGTTATCCATTTTGAAGGCCTAGAATTGTGAATATTTTGTTCTCAATCCCTGAAACCTGCCTAGGGATCCATATTTTAAAGCTCCAAGTTACTCACATTGTGATCGAGATGCATTGAAGAAAGGTCTGGCCCTTTGATTGGCTGCACACCTCGGTCAGCGGTTGAACTGCCCTTGGGCTAGGCCCACTCACCTCAAAAAATGGTTCAACACTTCCAGATTCAAACACTCAATTCCACGAACCCCCGCCGCGGCAGGTTCTCTCACCCACCCATTGGGCATTTCGCTTCGGCGCAATGTACGCATCAAGAGCAATATGTTCGAGATGTGCTTCACAGCTCCGCCCGGCGCAGGCTCGGCAACTGGGCGCCGCAGCTTTATTTTCTGCATTGAGTGAATCCGCAAACTCAGCAGCCGCTCAAGGTCGTGAGAATGAGGATGGTAACCGGCGAGGCGCAAGTATTGGTAGGGGAGGCCATCGGAAGCCCTTTTCTCAAAGACAGCATTCCCCCAAAAGGTCTGAGGATTCTGCTGTCGCTCTCTTCAACGACGTGGTGAAGCCTGGATCAGGCAACCGGTCACCAAGAAAACCGAGGTCATCTTCCTTGAGTGAGTGGGAAATCGCGGCAAAGATGAAGGAACTCACAGAAAAGAATGTCCCGGCCACGGACAAGTTGCGACTATTCCAGACCGAAATCTGGCCCCATTTGAGAGAGCATCGTGGCCTGCCTAAGCATCTTTCTGTCTCTACCAATCATTTCATGTCCGATATCTGCGACGAAATGGCCCGGAACGGAAGCACTGGGAGAAGCGTTGCATTGTCCCATATATGCGGCAAAATTGGCAAGTGGGATTTAGACATCAGAAACCAGCTTGTTCTCAACATTTGCCACGCCTTGCTCTATCAAAA